ACACTTGCACTAGTCACGTTGGATCTCTTCCGTGGCTATGGATTCCGTTCAATGGTCCGAGAGCTAAGGGCGGTCGAGGCTATCGACTTAGAAACTGGGTTCCTCAACGTTAATGCAACTTGATCGTTTCCGAGGGGAGCATTTAGACTTTGATAAACTGTGAACGTCAACGTTATGAAGTTTACTGTTGCACTGGTAGAAATTATGTATATTATATCATGAAGAGATGTGCGGCCTATTTAAGCATTCATGAGAGTCAGATTACATCCAGCAATAAATCGAACACCATGAGCTCTTCGAAACGTCCTTTGTCTTCTCCTACATTCCAGTCCTCCAAAAGACAACAGGTGCACCGAGAGACTGACGGTGAGTTGCCGGAGCAAATTCACGATCAACCACCTAAGAAAATCATTTCGGCAGACCGAAACAAGGTGATATAGCCTCCCACTTATTGTATGACTATGCTGATTGATTTAGGCTCCCTCTCCTTCATCAAGCCTCACCACGGAGTTTGAATACATATTGCGTCATCACAGCTCCCTCGCAGCTCCCATCGTCGGCCTTCTTGACTTGTATCTCTGCTTGTGGAAATGCTACGTTGTCGATTCTGCATTGAAGATACGACTTGAGGAAGAGCAACGTCATCTTCAGAGGTCAATCGAGTGGCTGACCGCCGAATGTGATGTACTGTGCCAGTGCTGCAACGATCAGGCTCTAGAGCTGTTTGGCCGCAGGCAAGCTGTGGCTGCCTTGAATGATGGGATTGTCGAAGTTCTGAGGGCGAGCGAGAAGCGCGCCTTCAGGATGATTGAGTTGAAATAGTGTCTCTATGGCACGATAAAGGAGAATACGAGAAGAGCTGGTTGTTTTTTGGCGTCCGTTATGTTTGCGAGTCTCATTCTCGGGGAGCGATCGCTTACTTTTGCTATGGCCAACATCACCTGTCCATGGCTTCTGTGTGCGAGTGTCTCTGCAAGTGAATATGTCGGCTACGACATGTTCTCCCAGGTTTTAATCAGCTTCTATTCCATTCCTATTTCCCAACTCCTTCCAGTTTTCAACATAAATCTAATTTTATATTCCAAAATATTGGTTGTTCCATTTTAACTCAACCCGTAAAGGGAGGCTTGTGTTGGGAATTGTATCTCTTTTTCCACTACCACTATCCAGGATCAGACCCTTCCCCTTGAACACTTTGCGGCTGATCAAATCTTAATCACACTTTAATGTGCAATAATTGATTTCAGCCACGGGCGATTTCTTCAACAACAATGGCATAGCTGAGGCTTCTGTGAACCTTTGCTGATATAGCCGGTTTATTCATTGGTTATATCATTTACGGTGACCCCTCGCAATAAAATGCTACTGTAGAGACTTCAAAAGTGGAAAGGTCTGTTATAGTCTTATCATCATCTTGAATTTCCCAAAATATCTCCTACGATGATCGTTCCACTGCCGCCATGTTCCTTTCACTCTCCATCATTCACTGTGCTCTGAGCTAGGACCCCCTCGGAGTACCGGTCCCAATCCTTAAGAATATCAGACAGTCGAAGCCGAGATGACTCCAGTGCCTGGTCAAAGAATTGCAACCGAGCAATTTGATCATCGTGACGCGACTGCATTTTGTTCCTCTCGTCGGTCATATATCGGTGAGTCTCTCGTAGACCGTGATTCGCTTTGGCCAACTTGCTTCCCTCTATATGCTTCGATGTGCACGACTCCCACAAGCGCCGATACAGTCCGACGATTCTCGCGGCTTGGAACGCAAGTTTAGGGTCTTCGCGTTCGAGCCGCGCGAGAGCTTCCATAGCAGGCTCAAACGGCTGATCCATCAAGGGAGGTCTCTGTGGATCCTCGGGCTGTCCAACGGTGGTCAGCTCAATCATCAAAATGGTCGTGCTTTCCCTACTCACAGCAGANTTCGGTTCTCTCGGTAGCCTTCTCACCCAACGGCCGGCTTCTGGCGTCCGGCTCTGGCGATAACACAGTGCGGCTCTGGGACCCGGCGACGGGCGCGCTCACCCAGACGCTCGAAAACTATTCGAATTCGGTTCTCTCGGTAGCCTTCTCACACGACGGCCGGCTACTGGCGTCCGGGTCTGACGATGACACAGTGCGGCTCTGGAACCCGGAGACGGGCGCGCTCACCCAGACGCTCGAAGGCCATTTAAGCGCGGTTTTCTCGGTGGCTTTCTAACCCAACGGCCGGCTACTGGCGTCCGGCTCTGGCGATAACACAGTGAGACTCTGGGACCCGGCGACGGGCGCGCTTATCCAGACGCTCGAAAGCCATTCGAATTAGGTTCTCTCGGTAGCCTTCTCACCCAACGGCCGGCTTCTGGCGTCCGGCTCCAGCGATAAGACAGTGCGGCTCTGGGACCCGACGACGGGCGAACTCACCCAGACGCTCGAAGGCCATTTGAGCGCTGTTTTCTCGGTGGTCTTCTCGCCTAACGGCCGGCTACTGGCGTCCGGCTCTAGCGATAATACAGTGCGGCTCTGGGACCCGGTGACGGGCGTGCTCATCCAGACGCTCGAAAGCCATTCGAATTCGGTTCTCTCGGTAGCATTCTCGCCTAACGGCCGGCTTCTGGCGTCCGGCTCTAGCGATAAGACAGTGCGGCTCTGGGACCCGGCGACGGGCGCCCTCACTGAAACATGGAACGCTGGACAAATGGTTACTATAATGGAATTTTCCGATAACGGTTTGTATCTCCACACCGACTCCGGTGTGTTTGACATTCGATCCACATGCGATATTCCTACACCTCATCCGCCTCCTGCGGATCTAGGTATCTCTATTGAGCAGGATCAATGGATAAAATTGAATGGTGAGAAGGTTCTCTGGCTTCCTGTTGAGTCTCGGCCTCGCTGTTTTAAGGTCAGTGGGAACACACTTGCCCTAGGACATGTATCAGGGCGGATTTCCTTTCTCGGGTTCTGTATATAGATGCAACTGATTTCAAATTCTTCCTCCTCTATTTTCTTATCTTTTCACGAAAGAAGGGTCTGGCAGAAGAGGGGAATTTATACAGCTCTATCCGACACAAGGAATATCCTACTGTATAAAGCTCTAGTCCATTGATAGATCATCCAGGAACCAGGGGTGTGGGGTCCTCTCCGTATGATTTGCAGACCCACTATTCGCTTCCATGGAATTCCACTCAATTCTCGTCTGGACGATGTAATATTACGCAGTTATGTACTGTAACATACTGGCCGCAGTTTCGAGTGTTTCCTTAATCCAGCGTGGCTGGGGCAATGAATAATCTGCGCTAAGGCCCTAGCGGTGGGGCCGGAAGAGAGAGTGTGAGTGTGTACCGGTCAAGGCGATTTCGAGAACGACTGTACTAGCTTGGTTGGTGATTGACGAACTGGGAGCGCCGATTGAAATATCGTCATAGAGAGCAATTTCAAAACTAGCCTTTTCATATTGTGTCCCAGTATGCCCCTTTTTCAGATGTGATCTATTGACACCGGTTCCTTCTAACACCCCTTTTCTCTTTCATGGGACTTTCGGCATCACCAAGAACTTATTTGGTGTGGCGAGGGTGGAACTGTTTATCACCAGTTTGCTGACGATGCTCCTTGCGCTTTCTCGACATCGATCTATCTTGCGTCAGTCACTTGACATCCTGGCTTGTTGCCCCCAAAATAATGAAAAAGACGTCAATACTCACCTGTTTCGTCTACTCGGCCAGCTCCTTTCCTTCTGCTCCCGCCTGATCGGTCTACCATTTCTGTTAGGAATTGGACTCGCCGAGAACGTGGTGTTGCAACGTATAGCGCACAAGGCACTCACTGACTGCTGACCGACTGAGTCTGATCATTCCGACTGAATTGAGTCGGTTCCGGCGACTGGCTTCTTTCAATGGGCTCAAACCGAACCCTCCGATTGCGTCTGCTCTCAGGCTTTGCAGCTAGAGACGATGCGCGATCATGTTCTGTGGGGGTAGATCCCAGCTTCGTACGAGATGAGCGCGTAGGTTTCGAGGAGCCCGCAGAGTCTGAGGAGCCCGCAGAATCTGAGGAGTAGTTCTCTCCCTTCAAACTGTCATACCATTTTTTGTAACCCCTGACAATTTTGCGGCAGCGATGTTCAGCGGCATTCCTGTCATACTGCGCCATTATCAACGAAGGAACTCTGACGTGGTCGAGGAAGAGGGGCCGTCAAAAAAGAGGATTTTCTGAAATAGATTGAGAGGAGGGTTCCATCTGCCACTTGAAAACGCGCCGGCAGGAAATTTATCAGTGGCCACTCGAGTAGTGCTACATTCATTCATTCCCTGAGAATGGCCGAAGGTGGAGAATTGAGTTGAAAGTGGGGCTCTACTGGCTGGGGAGGCTTGCAAATATCAACGTTGAACCATCCCCAGTGAATGTCCAATCTTCACAGCCTATGAATTGTACTGTACCTACAAAAACTTTTCATGCCTTTTCGCCTTCGGCCGCTCGTAGCTGCCAGGTATGCAGATTTATGGGTGAGATGATGGACTATGCTGTAATTCCGCAGAAAATATTTCATTTTTGCCGCCAGTTGAGGTGATTCAACATCTGTTGAAGTATGCGATCTAGAGTTTACGGCCGATCTCGCCAGGCGCCCCACTTCGAACCGTGGCGTGCATGAATCTAGACAGGGCCACCCATGGAACCATATCTTGGTGGTTGTATCTCATATTCAAGATGTTTAGGGTGAATCGCCTTTCACGGTCGTTGAAAAGCGCGTTCAACCGAGCGTTGAGCAGCATCGGTTGCGTTTAAAAAATGCCTGGCAAGAGGAAGATTCTCCTGGTTACGCGGTCAGCCTAGACGACTATACAGGTACTTGCGGTCCAACTGTGGGTTTGGCGTTCTCTCCTCTTCATGACAGTTATCAGTATATGCTACTTTTCTCAGCACATCTTGGCTGACTGTCTCGCTGGCTAAAAGATCAATTTTTCAAAACAGTCTATAAGACTAGGTCTTTGTCCCTTACACTACGAAACGCTGGGACAGCACAATGCTGAAGATAGCGCGGCGACTTCGAAAACGAGAATTGTCTGGTGGAAAACGCGTCAAGAGGATGTCGCGGCCTGGCCAGGACATGACTGTCCATCAGACATCTCCGCTCGCCCGCGTGCGTTCAAGACCGGAAACCACAAGGAGAGTACGGACACGGCTCCTTCTTCAACCTAGACGCTCTCTAATACACTTCGTATAGAATGCTCAGATGTTTTGTCCATTCCCTGCAAGAAAAACCCGAGTCCGTTAGAACACAAATTCGGATGACGCCAACGTCTTTTGACTGACTGTTGACCAGAAGTACTCTACGCATTATATTCTCTCCTCGGGATACCAGAGGGCTGGATTCCGTTTCAGGCGCAGCATATGATTCTGCAGTCAATCCAGCGGCATCTCGAGTATCATGCATTTTGGTATGTCGAGCGGCATTTCCTCCCGGAATCGGTGCAAAATGGGTGGACATGCCCTGAGGCTTTGGAACTACACAAGCTATTTCAATTTAACAATCGACAACGACACGCACAGAAAGCGAAAACTTCAGGTCCAGCTGTCAGCGATATCCAAGGCTGGCGACGTTCGATCTCGGCTATTCGCCATGCGGCGGTCCATCGTCTCGCACAAGATCGACAATCGCTTCTGCGGATGACTCGAGCAGCCATCGGTTTTGTTCAATGTATGAGTGGTTCCTCTCATACTCAAAGTCTCTGGCGTCTCAGGAAATACCTGTGGGTCGCGCTTCCAAGGCCATCTCGACGGTCTGTTGTTCCACGGCGACAGGCAATGTTCCAGTCCTGCCGAGTAGAGAATGGGCTCAGTCATTCGTCGCACCCTTCCATCACATTGCCAGAACCCCCCAAAGGAATTCTTCACCTTGTAGGGAACGACTTCTCCCACGAGGTACGACAATTTTTAGACAAAGAGTTTGAATGAGAAGCGGCAACAAATCATGGTATGGCCGAGCTCTGGGTCGTTGAGCTCTGCTATTCAGTCAGACCCGGGCAGTTGTTATTGCCGTCATATCATCACGAACAGGTCCATGTATATCTTGAGAGAAATTAATATAAAATCACGAGGTTGTGGCTGTATTTAGTACTTTAATTTCCAAGACCGGCGTACTCGTTGCACTTGGAAACTCAAGTACGCATCCAAAAAGTACGGAGTAGCTTAAAGAAAAGCGAATGCCATAGCTCTGAGTCCGATTGCCATGGTCTATGCTCACTACATTACTGTTAGAAAAATGCCGAATGCATTTAATGGAGAATCAATGCTCTCTGAGCCATTGAAGGCTCTGGACCCAATCGAGGACCCCGCATCAGCCGATTCGTCATACAGATTTTGGAATAATCCCCCTGAATAGCGGGATGATACTACAGCAGTTCTTTGGTGCTGTTAAGCCCTGAAATCAAATTTTCTGTTCGCTCTACGTAATTAATCTGGGGGATGCCGTACTATTGGGAACTGCACGAGACCCAAGTTTCTTTCACTGCGGATTTGACTTTGCAGACAGTTTTGCGTACCATGGATCGTCATCTGAGAAAACTATTTCGAACACGAAGTGAGCAAGTAGGGCTCACCGTTGAACGTTGACGGTTAGCCGTTAGGATGTTTAAACGATGCCATGTCCATAAACTCATCACGGCATTTCTACACTACATGAGCTTGGCTTCTCTGGTGACAGTCTCAAGTTGGCATTCTTAGTGCCACTCAAATTAACGAATATTGAACGTAAACATGATTTTCAACGGGCCGCAGATTTGGACAGCTACACACAATTATGATAACGGTTACCACTGCTAGTAGAAGTCAACCGGTGCCAATAACAATATGAGGGACAGGACAAGTCGAGATGTCTATAAATACCCTTTACTCCCCCGGCCCTTTGCTCTAGTCGTTCAGACTTCACAGCGCCAGACACTATCAGCCGACAGGTGATGAGTTCTCCTTCCACTATTAATCACCCCTTGACTGTTCCATTACAGTATATTGATACAGACAGAGCACCTCGTTGGCTCATAAGAGTCAGTCAGTACTTTTGACACTCCCGCCCGAAGATACGCTCCTTCTCTTCATTGACCGTCCAGTTGTTATCTCGCATTGTCCTGTTTGAGCCGAGAAAGCCAACGAGAAGAAACTCGGGCTCCTTGACAAATCCCGTTTATTGGAATGGTATGGCTGCCCAATCAAGTTGACCCCTTCGCTGTCAAGACCTGCCCTCACTGTCAACGGTGCAAAACGTGACCATGTTACGGGTATGTGCCTCGTTCCCCTTGCCATGGCTGACACTAACCCCGAAGACTCTTGTGCTGCCTAGAATTGGGTGCATATGGCCTAAATACACAAGTGCATTGCATGTGGAACTCCCAATTCCCGATTGCCACTAAAAAAAAGTCAGTCAACCCTTCCTGTCCTCCAAGACACTGGTTAATGACTGGCAGCAAATCATGAGTTGTGGGTCAGAATTCGCAAGCGTTCGAGTATACCACGATGAATGATCCTATCGCAAAGCTGAAGTTTACACGCCATTTTCCGGCCGGCGGCACCGGTAGTATTAGTAACCATCGCACTACCCGTTCTGCTATTTGTGAACTCTTCGACCGGGAATGTGCTCCAAGAACGGGACCGGGATCGAGCTCGCCACGGTTTGTGAATTGTTTGAAGCCACAAAGCCCCGTGATCTGAAACCACACTGCAGTCGGCTGACCGACCGAAATAGGGAAACAACCAAGAAATGCGGTCGTCGTCGAATCAGAGACGTGGCAGTTGATCTAATCTGTTATCTTCCGAGTTGCCCCAACAGCGTACGTACGGCGGACCAATGGCGGATCCCAATGTGAGTTCCTGAGCGCTCCCACACACTCCAACGCAACGACACACTTTCAATGAACTTCGAACCGTCAATCGTTTCTCGCACCATTCGCAAAAGGAAGATCCCGCGCCATGGAGACAATAGTGTGCAGATCACCACCAAGCAGCTGCGACGGCTCGTCGACGACACACTCGAAGCCCCGTCAGAGAACCCACGAAATCAGAACTGGGGTCAAACACGAATAGCACGCCTTCAAAACTGTCAATGACAAGTGGAAGAAGTGTGAGCGCATCGGAAGCAGATCGACGCGCTTCCCCTCCTTCTTCCTTGTCGCGATCGCTGGCCGCTGCGGGAGTTCGCTCTGTCTCGGACTGCGGTGAGCCACCAGCGACTTGGCAAAGACCGCGACTGCGTTCGATTTCCTCCGTTTATCTTCAAAACAGTGAAGACGAGGATAAGAATGCCTTCGGCCGGTACCTCCATTTGTCCTTGGTCTAGCAAACAGTCGCATCCGAGCGGCCACATCGAATGCGGCTGCTACGCAGGATGTGCAATGGCTTCCACTGGCACCACCAAGACCAAGTATGGCATCTGGTTCGAATACTCGGGGTCGACTGAACTCGCGTCAACACGAGTAGTTACACGAATCGGGTAACAACACCAAGCGGCCAAAACAAAGTCGGAATCATTGTCTTTGATCGAGAAAGCGTTCAGGCGCAATCCATCGAGAAGATCCTTGATAAGAACGAGCTACTGGAACGAGACATGGAGGCCCTCATTATCGATCACCAGACTCAGAAGCTGGATGAGCCGGCTTATCCAAGGAACCATCGATCCCCGCGTACCGAAGGCATGTCCACCACAGTGCGTGATAGGTGTCATAACAGACTGTGCAAAAGCGGCTCGGTCCGATTTCGAAGCCTAATCCGTGCCAACGGAGGGATCTCGACCTTGTCCCACCGACGGATCCTATGGACCTGACGGCAGTCGAGATCTGTGCGGCCGACTTCCAGATCCTTCTGGTTGAGTCTACCTTCTGTCAGTGTCGCTTCGCGCTTCGGACGGGCGTCAGCGGATTGGCGTGGCTACCCTTTGGGACACCATTCTCAGCCCCAATTGCTCGCCAGGATCATTTCTTACCACCCAGAACATGTCAGTCGTGAATCAACTCTTTCAATCCCCTAGCCAATGGCTGGCAGGGAGGAATGAATTGGAAGAACGGTACCGACACATGGAGCTGGCAACGTTCTGCGAGCTGTTCGCCTAGCTTCGCGTGACCGCGATTACATCCGCACGCCATCAAGGCAGAGCGGAGTGTTTCCGGCTCACCAAGACAAGATGAACAGCAGAGCCCGCTGACTTCCAAGAGACCGGGGATCGATATCTTGATGGCAAGGGGGACGCCCCTTTACTCCCACCCCAAACCAACACCACAAACGCCGTAGATGCCGGATTCCATCGCCACTAGCCACGCCTGTTAGGGCCGGAACTGCTTCAGCAGCCTGCAGTCCCACAACGGGATATAGGACCAGGCGGGAGGTCCAGTGACAATATCGAAATGACGCAGCTTACACTCCAGTGGAAGTTCAACCGACCTACGGTCTGGAACAATGTATATTTCGCTCCACGCGCCGCGGGTAGTGTGTGAGAAAAATCTTTCGAACAACCAACAATGAGCAAATAGCTGCCGTTGATATTGCAGCTGCCACTCCCCAGCATCTAAAAGCACTACTCAACGTCCAATACCTGTGCGTATTGTTCGTGAGAGAGTACTCTCAGAAACAATGTGGTGCTCCGAGACAGCGACACACCATGTCAATTACCAATCAGCTTCAAGTTGGTGCTTCTGCTTGTCAATTGCGGCGAAAGCAAAAACCATTACGGTCTGGACGTCCGCCGCGACCGCCGCCAAAGCAGTCTGAGTTCCGGCCACGCTTGCCGCCGGTGCTAGCCGCAATGCGTCGACCGATCGCCTTGGATGAGAAGCCAGCACAAATTTCGATGTCTGGTTCCTCGACAACCATTCCCGACTTAATGGGACGACCTCCGGTGCCACCGTCCTTCGCCGTGAGCAGCCATTTGCGATCCGCATTGGTAAGTCGCTCGATTGGAATGACGCTGATGCCGGTCTGATAGTCGCTGCAGTCACGCGGGCCGAAACCAACGCCCCACCCGGTGCGGAGTTGCAGCTCGCCTGAACGGAATGATTCTCTTTCATCGCGAGCTCTCACCGCATCCTGGCAGCTAATCATCTTAATGAACGCATGACGCTTCTTAATGTTGACAATACAGATCTGAACGATTGCCGAACTTGTTGAAAAGGGAACGGAGGTGAGCCTCAGAGGAGATACCACTGACGAAGAGGGTGCGGCTCAGAACCTTGATGTTACCCGGGCCGATGGAAGAGTCCCACTCAACGAGCTTAGGACCAGACGAGGGGAGATTATGGTCTTTCCGCAGCGGGGAATGAGACAAGCGTTTCCAGTGCGGAGGACTACGTATACGGTATTCGTTACTCCGACGACCTCTAGCATCGCGAGGATCACCCTGGCGCCCAGTGGAATAACTGTAATACTGGTAGTGCACCGGCCTATCGTGGCGGCGAGGCGGCGAGGCAGTTGACGTCGGTCCCAACCGGGCAGGTGAGAAGGACAGCCGTACCCAGCGGGAGGAGAGCGAGAGTGGTCACGATCCCTCCCGCGAGCACTGTCGACACGGTTCTGCACGTCCGGGTGGCCCCCGCCACCAGAGCCCTGGCAGGGTATCGCGCCAAATCCAGGAAGCTGAGCGGGGTTGGCAGCACCTATGGTATCGGCTATAGTGACGAGTTGCAGGGCCGCAACCCACTGGTCCTGCGAGATGCCCTGTTGCGACAGTAATTGCAGCAGGGGAATCTGCCGTGACATCGCCTTTCCATCCATCGCCGGAGCGGCGGCTGGCCACTGCGGAAGCATTGCTACCAATGGGCTCAGGGTCTGGCTATGGCCGCGGGGCTGCGGTATGGCAAGGTTCTCGCCAACAGCACCAAGAGTGGCAAATGGATTGACCATGGCGCCAGCACCAGCAGCAACACCTGTGTATGGGTTAGCCGTTGAGGGTGGCAGGGGAGATGAATCGACAGATGAGACAAGATGCAGAGCCGCGGCTGATGGGGTCAGGGTAGCGAGCGGGTTGGGAGAAGCAGACGTCACCGCGCTCTGTTTAGCCATATCGGCCAGCGGCTTGAGTTCGCCGATGGTATCTGTTGCCGCGGGCGAGCCATTGGCAGGCTTGAAGCTGCGCGGTGAGCCTTTGGACGTGGTGGACTGAACATCTATGAACCATGCCAGAAGCGATGGAATCAGAAGAGGATGAGGGTAAGATCCGACGGTGGATACTTACTATGTGGTGGAGCGTTCAGTTTCTCGCGGAATGAGTTGAACAGGAGGGCGGGAAGGAGCAGCAGCACTCCCAGATGTCGACAAGGTTCTTGATCTTTTCCTACAGAGTCCAGAAAGGCATACGTGAGTGATAAGACCTGCAAAGCAATGAAAACGCAAAAAACTGCCAGCACCATGTCCAAGGTTGAACGTGCGCGGGAGAATAAGGTCATTGGCTCGATTGGCACCCAGAGGCCCAGCCCCAGCCTGAACATTCACGCCTAGTGGATGCGTACCTTTTGATCTTGCGGGGCATTGTCGATGATGTCGGTCATCAACACGGGCAGCAACTTGGTCAATCGATCGACACCACCAGCGTAGGTCCCATCCGGCGCGGCGCTTCGTGGAGACCGGCCAGCCTTTGCGAGTGGCGTCCACCCATGCCGGGCTATAGAGTCGACCACATAGAGATCGCCCAGCTTGTGGGTGGCGGGAACCTTCTTGAAGTGGGTGTAGACTTTTTGGATGAGAACGGGTTCATCCTGGGGTGCAGGGTTAGCATCTCATCAACTTCATCTCGGCCATCTTAACAGTCTCAACCATCCCAACAATTAAATATCTCAGGAGTAGGGAACGTGTCCTACTTGAACATTGGCGGTGCACAGTCTGGTGATACTGTGAACCTTGGAGCCTGTAATCCCGGGAGGCTTCAAAGCCAGCATGGACCGAAGGTAGCTATCCAGTTCCGCTACAGCCGACGACATAATGGGCTCGCGGAGTCTCCGCGAGACAGTAACGTTTCAAACAGCGAGGATCCTGGGTATGTGTTCTTTGCCGGGCGGTGTTATGTGACTCTTAAGGCGGTCTGCAGCGACCAAAAACAGAAGACAGCCGGCGGCGGTTCTACTTGCGAAGCGAGCAGAAGAAAGAAAAGTTGTCCAGGGGAAAGAAAAACTGTAAGCCATTCGGGTGTTTATTTGTGACCATGTTCCATCGAGTACGAAATATCTTGTCGATCGTTGCAAGTCCTTCAAGTTACAGCACGTGTATTCACTGTCGAACCAGAGAATCTGCCGCCTTCAGCTGGAATAAAGCCCAAGCGAGGAGAGAAGGGACTGCCAGTGGTTGCTGAAACAAATACGCCGGTCGCGTGAATTACGAGGACAAGGAGTGTATGAGTGTAGAGGTACGACTTACCGTTTACAGTAGAGATCTCATGAGGTCCGTCCTGCCTGAGAGGGGCGAATCGCCGACGTATTTACGTTGTACGCAACCCGTGGACGGGGCGACAAGAGAAAAATAATGGAAATGAGAGGAGGGGGACGGCGGACTAGGGGGACTCCGCCATAACCCCAAATTCTACTATGTACTTATCACGTGACATATGAGCACCACGTCGCTCCTGCTGAAGACAAGTTGATTCTGAGCTTCAAAAAATGCACACCTGTTTTATTGCCGAGCAGAAAAGCGTAGAGAATTTTGTGTTCAGTGATATCGATTTCACCCGAAAAATGGTTCTGGGTGGCTGTGGGAAACTATGAAGAGGAAGCCATGATGGTGCAAAAGCTGGGTGTCCTGAGGGAAGCGAACACAGACTGTTTGCTGGTAATATATACAGCTAACATGGATGCTGGGCCAAGGCTCATGAACACCAAAAAAGATTCTCCGGCCTTTTTTAGCCGTTCCAAACCTGACATTGGTCCCAGGAACCCAATGCTGCTTCTAGGAGTATAGTGAATTGTCGCGAGGAACAATCCTGCTGGGCTGTAGGAACGCACCGGAGACCAGGATTCGTCGCGCAGACTCCAGGGAGCCTCACCTACCATGGGAACATCTAGTCTATTCCCTCCTGTTACCAAAATGAGGGTTGATCCGTGGCAAATACGTTTTATAAATAACCTCCGACCTTTCATAGATTTAGCTTAGGTATGGAAAGGCGACCTGAATATTTATCTACTCTTGAGGATTTTCTACCGAATAAGTTACAGCTGGTTACCTAGATTGCTCTAAATTGATACTGTATTGGCAGGTATTGTGAAATTTAATTCACCCAAGCTTCTTTGTTTTTTAGCTAGCACCGGTAAAATGTTGGAATTGAGGGCAATCCAAATATGTGGTATAGTCGGAAATCCCAACGCCGGGATGTTGACGTTGGCTAAAGCATGTGGAGCCGTNGCGCGTTCAACCGATCGTTGAGCAACATCGGTTGCGTTTGAACTGGCAAGAGGAAGATTCTCCCGGTTACGTGGCCAGCTTAGACGACTATACAGGTACTTGCGGTCCAATTGTGGGTTTGGCGTCCTCTCCTTTTCATGACTGTTATCAGTATATGCTACTTTTCTCAGTGCATCTGGCTGACTGACTGGCTTGCTAAAAGGTCAAATTTTCAAACAGTCTACCAGACTAGGTCTTCGTCCCTTACACTACGGAACGCTGGGACAGACCAATGCCGAAGATAACGGGGCGACATCGAAGACGAGAATTGTCTGGTGGAAAACGCGTCAAGAGGATGTCGCGGCCTGGCCAGGACATGACTTTGTATCAGACATCTCCGCTCGCCCGCGTGCGTTCACGACCGGAAACCACAAGGTGAGTACGGACACAGCCCCTTCTTCAACCTAGACGCTCTCTAATACGCTTCGTATAGAATGCTCAGATGTTTTGTCCGTTCCCTGCAAGAAAAACCCGAGTCCGTTAGAACACAAATTCGGATGACGCCAACGTCTTTTGACTGACTGTTGACCAGAAGTACTCTACGCATTATATTCTCTCCTCGGGATACCAGAGGGCTGGATTCCGTTTCAGGCGCAGCATATGATTCTGCAGTCAATCCAGCGGCATCTCGAGTATCATGCATTTTGGTATGTCGAGCGGCATTTCCTCCCGGAATCGGTGCAAAATGGGTGGACATGCCCTGAGGCTTTGGAACTACACAAGCTATTTCAATTTAACAATCGACAACGACACGCACAGAAAGCGAAAACTTCAGGTCCAGCTGTCAGCGATATCCAAGGCTGGCGAGATTCGATCTCGGCTATTCGCCACGTGGCGGTCCATCGTCTCGCACAAGATCGACAATCGCTTCTACGGATGACTCGAGCAGTCATAGGTTTTGTTCAATGTATGAGTGGTTCCTCTCATACTCAAAGTCTCCGGCGTCTCAGGAAATACCTGTGGGTCGCGCTTCCAAGGCCATCTCGATGGTCTGTTGTTCCACGGCGACAGGCAATGTTCCAGTCCTGCCGAGTAGAGAATGGGCTCAGTCATTCGTCGCACCCTTCCATCACATTGCCAGAACCCCCCAAAGGAATTCTTCACCTTGTAGGGAACGACTTCTCCCACGAGGTACGACAATTTATAGAGAAAGAGTTTGAATGAGAGGCGGCAACAAATCCTAGATGGCCGAGCTCTGGATCGATTGCGCTCCACTATAAAGTCGGACCGGGGTAGTTGTTGTTGAAATTTTTAGACAGGCCGACGTATATATTTCGGAGGAATGAGCATAAATTGCGAGGTTGCTGCTGTATTTGGTGTTTTAGTTTCGAACACCAGCGTACCCGTTGCACTTGGAAACTCAAGTACGCATCCAAGATGTACGAAGTAGCTTAAACAAATACGAGTGCCATTTCTCTGAGTTCGATTGCCATGGTCTATGCTCACTACATTACTGTCAGAAATATGCTGAATGCAATTTAAAGGAGAATCAATGCTCTCTGTGCCAATGAAGGCTCTGGATCCAATCGGGGGCCCCCACATGAGCCGATGCATCGTACAGATTTTGGAATAATCCCCCAGAATAGCGGAATGATACTACAGCAGTTCTTTGGTGCTGTTAAGCCCTGAAATCAAATTCTCTGTTCGCTCTACCTAATTGACAATCTGGGGGATGCCATACTATTGGGAACCGCACGAGACCCGGATTTCTTTCACTGCGGATTTGACTTTGCAGACAGTTTTGCGTACCATGGATCGTACATCTGAGAAAACTATTTCGAACACGGGGTGGGCGGGTAGGGCTCACTGTTGAACGTCGACGGTTAACCGTTAGGATGCTTCAACAGTCGCCATATTCAAAAAGTTCGCTCCCGTGAACGGTCGCTGCGTACTCGATACGCCTCAAATAAACACTGAACGAAATCTGGGCTGCTTGCAGGTCATACAAAAACGATAAGTTCTCAATTGGGTATGCATCGTCTCTCACACCATGGATTGTCATATTGAAGTTAGGGTGATCTGTGACTGGCTAATGGACTAAAAAGGTCACTGATGAGTAATTTCAGATGAGATATGCTGTGAGAAGACTGAAAAGTACTAAACGTTTTCCTTTGGCCCCACAGTCTGTGATGTACGTACTGGGATGTTATGGTCTATACAAAAACCCCTTTCTGACCGGTGATCACCAGGCTGTTGAAACGGACTGGGCAATCGACTTATTTCGGAAGTGATGAAAGTACGGCACCGATTGGCATCTTAGCTCTTAATGGTCGCTGCTTGTCTATAAATTCCCGTCAAATCCCACTACGGTCTCCCATCAATTTAGGTCTCGCATTCCACCTCACTTTCCCATAGTTGTGATAAAGCAGTCATACTGTGGGAATCCTACTACTATAGACTCGATGCAGCCAAACAATCTCCGCAACAATGTCGTTGGAGAGCTTGATCAAAACAAAAATCTCCAACATGAACCAGATCATCATCAAAACCAAAGGGATGACAGAAAAACACTCTTCTTTGGCATCTCTTCGTCATATGTCCCAGACTGGGATACTCTGGCCGCGTTCAGGGAGCTCTATCAGAATTGGTCAGTTCGATGCCGCCATCTGCTAAACACGTGCCCTGAGACTAGAGCTAACTAAAAATAGGAGAGATGCCATCGTGGCACGTTTCAACTTAGGCCGTCTCGATTTTCAGCCATGTTATGAAGACAGAGGCGATTGTATAGCGATCACCGTCCCTGATCTCTCAGATCGACATCGGCAGGGTCGTGCTTTGGGGTTCATCAAGTACGACAAGCACAGCGGTTGCGTGACAATCTCCAACTCCTGCGCTGAACTAAGTCTCAACGCACTTGAACTCGGCAGCTCATCGAAGCAACATGATTCCAACTCTGCCGGCTGTCATGGAGAGGGTCTGAAGCTGGCGGCTCTGGTGATGGTGCGCAGTGGATTCGATGTGGAATTATCTGCTAGCAGGAGCCACTGGCGTTTTGGCCTCTTGCAATCTCATTTCTTCTGCGACATCAAGCCTTCCAATCATTCCAGTCCCAATGGCTCTGATCCAAGTGGCGACATGTTTCGACTCTGTTCTCGTGTGGATAGGGATGTGACGGTGGAGATCCGAGCTCCAAAAGAATCGCAAAAAAATGCTGTGTCACTCGCAGAATTTCGTAGTTGGCTGACAGTCACGCTCGACATTCGAAGGTTTTCCCATCCCTCAGATGTTCTAGAAACCGAGGTTGGAGATCTAATTCTCGACCCCGATTTCCACGGCCGGGTCTACCTCAAGGGAATGCGCCTGCCGTGCTCTGGGTCAGGACTCAAGCAGTATCGATTTGCGTATAACTTCTTGCACGGAAAGGTGAATCGCGACCGACGGATTTTGGTCGATCGAGATGAGGAAGCCAACATGGTGCGACGAATCTGGGAAGCCGCAATTCGGAAACATCGCACCGCTTTTCTTCCCATCTACGTTGGTCTCCTACGCAATTCCCCGGAAGCACTCGATGTTGAATCAGCTACCCATTTTCTGCAATCATCGACCAAGC